TAGTAAATTGTTAATGGCAACTTTTATGTTTATTAGTATGAGGTTATGAGCTAACTTGGAAATAGTTGATGATATTTTTGTTGGATTTTGCATTTGTTAGTTGTTACTACTGATATTTGATTTACTAGAATAATAAGTAGTTCAGTCGTAGGAGGAGTCTTTGTTTAAATTTATAATATTTAATTAGATAAGTTTATTGAGATAGTTTAGGTTTTGAATTTGAATATTTTTTCGGCATATTCTGTTTTTAAGTTGGCTATTTAAAGCCTTCCTTGGTTAATAAAATTTATGAGGGACAATTTTCAATCAATACTTTAAATCTTCTTGCTGCTCCATCTTCTTAAAAAATCCAACAATTTTACTGCTAAGCTTTGGGAAAGAGTACTATTGAGGATGTTGAGGTATTTTCACTTGGGGGTAGTTTGTGATTTGAAATTTTTATGTCGTGACGAGGGAAATGAGATAGATATCAAAAAATGTGAATTAGGTTTTCTGTTTATTTGTATCAGGAGAGTTCAAAATGCTGAGGAAAAATTTTGTGAAATTTTATGGAAGTTTGAACACGTGTGGGGAGTTTTATGCAGTGCCTAAAAAGTAAAAACCTGTCAGCTGCAGCTAAAGTTCAAATGTTCGTAGAGATAAAGAGGATCTTGGATTGAGATGATCACATGGATTAGTCTAAGCACTTCCCGAGTGCCACTTTTGTGAATAAAACTTGTCAAAAAATGATAGGAGTAATGTTGAATGGAACGATTTGATGCGTTAAACCTCTATGAGTGCACGATCATTGTTAGCTTCTAAATATATGAAGTTGGTGTCCAGCTATGTAATGTAATCTGCTCTGGTTATTCTTTCACTTCAGTTGAATAGAGAAAAAGTTGAACAAACACTTTATCTAGATTCATATATGGCTAAAAAAGTGCAGACTCTGGTGTTTCATTCACTCATTCATGCTAGTACTTTTGTTTCAGCTTCTCACTTTAATCATGCAACTCAATTTTTCAGATTTCCGGGACTATGTAAAACCTTCCCGACTTTTACCAGCCACTGACATAAAATTTGGCGGAGATTGGTCGCTGGAAAACGTGCTCAATCGTTCAAATTTGGATAAGTCCGATTCCTTGTACAAAGTCAAGCTGCAAACAAGTAGTGCATATGGATCAGATCTCACCGACATAAACTCTGGAGTCCTGCTTTGTTTGATAGATGAAAATGGTGAGTCAATCTTACAGAGGATATCAGCTGGTCAGGAAAACGCCCATTCTATGCAGTCACAGAGCTCTGATCTTCTCCATTTCCAAAGAGGTTCTGTGGATGAGTTCATATTTGAGGGACCTAAACTTGGAAAAATTGTAGCTGTTTGGATCAGCCCAGAATCAGGTTAGAATATCCAGAAAAGCCGATCAAACTGTTGCATGCATATTTATCCGAAATGTACATCTGGCATTTTGATATTCACCAAACTGCATTTTGACAGTAGTCGGTTTACACTTCACACTCTCTTTAAGCCTATCTCAAATGGTGGGGAAAAAAAGAATATCTCAAACCAGTAAGAATCCTGATTACTCAACAGTAGCATTCGTCAAGTTTACACCAATATTTTGCAGTAATTGATTACATCATTTGTGTATAGAACAAGAAGAATGACAAGTTTGAAGGAGATTGGGGGTATGGGGATTCAGACTTCGGCATATACTAGTGATACACTTAGTGAGTGCTTAGTTCTCAGTATCTCTGTCAATTAGACCCGGACTATAAGCGCCTAAATGAGAATATGAATTTGTCAAAAGATGCTCATTGTGGACTATTATTTTGATTACTATTATGCATATTTAAGCATCAAAAAGGAAATTAACAAACATGAGTTCTCTATATTTTGTTCCAACGTGAATAAGCAGGTCAGTGGAGACTTGGAAGCATGAGCATAACTGTCATTTCCCTGCTAAATTCTGAGTCAGTAGGAAATGAGAAGAATTTATCTGACTGTACTGCTGTCCAGTATGACTTTGATATCGAGGATGTCTTGCTCGGTGAGAAAAGCGATAGTTCCATGTTAGAGTTTAGACCATTTTCAGTTACTGAGTTTTCCCAGGACAACATTTTATCATTAACTGAGAAAACTTCGCCATCATCTTCCCTTGCCACTCAGAAGATATCAAATGAAGACACCATGAAGGAATATGCAGATTTGAAGTTATCTTTGTTGCTTTATGATGCAATCCTCACTATTGCTGGTTCGTCCATTGCATTCTTAGCCGGGGAAAAGGCTGCAATCGCCTTCTTAACAGGTGGTATCGGAGGATTTCTATATCTATTACTCGTGCAGAGGTCGATTGATGGTATACCATCTTCAGACTTGACTTCAAGTAAAAGGACAGAAACTCTTGATCAGACCAATAAAGGATTCAAAGGTTCAGTGTTAAACATAGTATTGGCTCTTGTAGTTACTACAGCTGCAGCAAAATATGCCCTCGGAGACATTTCCAGTGTGCTGACACCGAAAGATCTCCTGCTTGGGACTATCGGCTTTCTATTGTCCAAGGTATCTGTGTTCTTGGCTGCATTCCGACCCATAACAGGTTTAAGAGAAAACAAATGATACTGTACTCTTAGTATTCCTTGCACATTCATGTATATAGCTAATACAAAGTTACAGACATGGAGATGTATAGAATCAATAAATGTTCACTTTAGTTATAATCTGTTTACAGTTGTATATGCATCCAACAATAACAAAGATTTGTACTTTGTCAATAATTTGGAAAATGCTAAACTCGAGATGTTTTTATTTCTACAAGTGACATTTCATGTTTGATAGATTAAAATGGTGAGTCAATCTTACAGAGGATATCGGCTGGTCTGGAAAATGCCCGTAAGTTCAAAAGGAAAACAGATATGCGTCTGCCGGGAGTTGAACCCGGGTCTATTGCTTGGAAGGCAATTATCCTAACCGTTGGACTACAAACGCCTTGTTGTACTCACTTCATAGTGCATATATAATCGCATATATCATGTGGACCATATTTTTGGCAGCATGATGCTAGAAAAACAGTGTTATGAGGTAATAGTACCCAATGAACTTATACCAACAATGGAACATTTGGCATGAGCCTCCATGTTTTGGTTCAGTGGTCAGGATGCAACACGTGATGTATAATTAGCCACACGTCATGGGGTCGAATCTAGTCGTAGCCGAGTTTTGAACTTGTGGGGCGACTAAACTCAGGCCAGAAGCCTACAGGGAATTTTTCCGATAACAATTAAAATGGAAGATTTCCCATGAAAAGGCTTGCACTTTGCCGTCTCTTTCGAGATGATGATAATCCAAGAAGTTATCAAAAGCACACTTTTAGTACTTGTAGTTGACAAGAAAATAGAATTACTAGTAATAAGCTGTCTATATATATATATATATATAGTCTAGTCGAATGCTGTTGATTATTTTATACTTTTTGCCTTCAATTTACGTTCAAAGATAGATAGTATGAACAGGAGGTAGAAATAAATTACAGTAAGTATGTCTTGAGAAAAGCAAACAACAAGCTCTAGATATGCTGTTCACACTATCCATAGAAGAAGTTATACTCCCTCCGGTCCAAAATAAGTGATTTTTCCAGATTTCAAGAATGAATTAATTATTTTTTTCCTACATTGTCCTTGGAGTAAATAGTGTTGGAATATGTGTTAGGAGTGTTTATGTGAGATAGTAAAGGTTAATATGGTCAATTCCATTGCTAATTAATGTTAAAAGGTGGATTTCTTAATCTGTGTGAAAACATCCAAAAAATCACTTATTTTGGACCGGAGGGAGTAGTGTTTTTTGTGATGCATTAATTGTCTTCATTGGAACAAGAAGTTCAAAGCATGTTACAGTTTCTTGAAACGATGAGAATTATATATTTGGGGTATACAAAACCATAAAGTCTACTTAAGTTCAAGTATTTCAGATTGTCTTGAAAAAGCAATAGGCATGCTTAGTCAATGAGATCAGTGTTTTAGGGGAAACAAAAACATTAATTCCACTTAATAAATGCACATAAATGATCAAACATATATAAATAGGGATATTATGAATCATATGGTATTCAAGACTTTGATCTAACAACCAGTATCCAAACTACACCTTACAGCAAAACCACAAGAACATAGTTTACCTTACTGTACTAACCATGATGTTCGGGCAAATGGTGAATGGCTCTTCTTCTAGTGAATATCCACTACAAGTTGTTGATCCAAAACATGTTGCAGTAGTAGAACCAAAAACTTCTGGTGTTCATGCACCCATTATTTCATCCTTGAACGATAGAATTAGACCCCTTCTCGACTGTGTTGACAAGCTTAGGCATCTCAACATCATGCAAGAAGGCATTCAGCTTCCAACCATTGCGGTGGTTGGAGATCAGTCCTCTGGAAAGTCAAGTGTACTCGAATCGCTTGCTGGAATCAGTCTTCCTAGAGGGCAAGGTATTTGTACTAGAGTGCCTCTATGCTTCTCCACTGAAATATCAGGCTTTTGTTCATAGCAGGGCTCAAGCTCGTCATATGTGCCTAACCGATGAACAAAGGTCTGGCATTATAATTGCGGCATAACATTTTGATTTTGCTGTAGTCATATTTGATCTGCATGGTTCAGAGGAAGTGAGAAAATTTTGTGTTGACTTCTCAGGATTTTGATAAAATTGTTACATTTTGCTTTCCAAACACCTTGCATCTTCTTCATGATTTCAGTAATCCATCAGCTAGCAAATTAATGAGCAAAACATATTTTCATTTCATGTATGGGTTGTTTAAAAATTTCCCATGAAGGTGGAGGTATTAAAGAGAGGAGTAATGTTGGATAGAACGATTTAATAACCTCTGCGAATGCACAATCGTTGTTAGCTTCTAAATCTGCTGATTTCCGCTGAATAGGGAACCAGAGTTGACGATCTCACTCTATCTAGATTCATATATTTATGCTAGTTTCTTTTGTTTGTTTCAGCTTCTCATGTTGGCCGGGAAGATGCCCATTCTATGCAGTCACAGTGCTCTGATCTTCTCCATTTCCAAAGAGGTTCCGTGGATGAATTCATATTTGAAGGACCTAAGCTTGGAAAAATTGCAGCTGTTTGGATCAGCCCAGAATCAGGTTAGTATATCCAGAAAAAGACTTTGGGATCATAATTGTACAGGGCCAATTTTTCGCAATATTGACACTGCACGGCAGTAGCAATCACACAGCCACTCAGCCTCACTTTTCGCACACACAGCCTGACACTTAGAATTATTCAGGACTTAGCCAAACTTAAGAACACACAGAATTACGGGTAAAATCACCCAACCTTTATTACTCTCGCAGAATACAAAGGACTCACGTTTGGATGGCTCACAAAATATGCTACTTGCCAAATGCCAAACGAAAATACACATAAAAAGGGGCCTGCCTATGGCAGTTTTACAAAGGGGCAGTTGGGGCAGTACAAACCATGTGCCATGCACATGACAGACCTACAAACATGGATAACTAATCTGTTTGAATTCAAATTCAAACTCTTCCCACGAATTTGGACTTGTCTTCAGCATTAGAGTCAACTGCACATGTGCTTTGCACATGTCTTCAACTTCCAAAGCACATGCCTTGCACACCACTTCCGTCACATGCCTTGCACACTTGACTTCCAGCTTTTTGCCCACACTTAGTCTTCTGCCTTGCCTTGTTTTGGACCATGCCTCGCCCATAAATTTATAGCCACGCCTTGCCATAAACTTAGTCGTCCCACTGATCCACGCATGCCTTTGTCAAGTGGCCTTCGTTGCCATTGTCGATGCCCACGAACCAAGGCTGCCTCGCCAACACTCAAGGCACCTTGCCTAGCTGACCTGCCTAAGCCCATCACCAACTTAGACACACACCCAGCTTTGCACATTGCTTGTCAACACTTCCACAAACCCATGTCAAGGGGCAATGTACAAGCCCTTGACACGGATTCTGCCCGACCTTCGTCAAGTCTCATTGTTAGGGGCTAACAAACATGCATATTTATCCGAAAAGTACATCTGGCATTTTGATATTTACCAAACTGCATTTTGACAGTAGTCGCCTCAATATACACTTCACACTCTGCTTGAATATATCTCAAAAGGTGAGAAAAAAGATAATCTATCTCAAACCAGTAAGAATCCTGATTACTTAACAGTAGCATTCATCAAGATTACACCAGTATTTTGCAGTAAATGGTCACATCATTTGCATATAGAACAAGAAGAATGACAAGTTTAAAGGAGATTGCTGGTATGGGGATTCAGAATTCGGCATATACTGGTGAACACTTGGGGCTCGTTTGGTATGAGGGATAATTATTAATCCCAGGATTAAATTTGAGATGAGTTTATCCACGTTTGGTTGAGATAAAATCGTGGTATAACTAATCCCGGGATTGTAGTGTTATTTTTATCCCTATGGGAGGGTGGGATACACTCCCGGGATAATTAATCATGGGGTAACTTGTTTCCCAACCAAACGATCCTTTATTCGGTGCTTAGTTCTCAGTATCTCTGTCAATTGGACCTGGACTAAGGTCATTATTTTAGCGACTAAATGAGAATATGAATTTGTCAAAAGATGCTCATTGTGAACTATTAGTTTGATTACTATTATGCATATTTAAGCATCAAAGAGGAAATTAACAAACATGAGATCTCTATATTTTGTTCCAACGTGAATAAGCAGGTCAGCGGAGACTTGGAGGCATGAGCATAACTGTCATTTCCCTGCTAAATTCTGAGTCAGTAGGAAATGAGAAGAATTTGTTCGACTGTACTGCTGTCCAGTATGACTTTGATATTGAGGATGTGTTGCTCGGTGGGAAAAGCGATAGTTCCATGATGGAGTTTAGACCATATTCAGTTACTGAGGATTTCTATATCTATTACTCGTGGAGAGGTCGATTGATGGTATACCATCTTCAGAATTGACTTCAAGTAACTGCAGTTACTACAGTTGCAGCAAAATATGCCCTCGGAGACATTTCCAGTGTGCTGACACCGAAAGATCTCATGCTTGGGACTATCAGCTTTCTGTTGTCCAAGGTATCTGTGTTCTTGGCTGCATTCCGACCCATAACAGGTTTAAGAGAAAACAAATGATACTGTACTCTTAGTATTCCTTGCACATTCATGTATATAGCTAATACAAAGTTACAGACATGGAGATGTATAGAATCAATAAATGTTCACTTTAGTATGATCTGTCTACAGTTGTATATGCATCCAACAATAACAAAGATTTGTACTTTGTCAATAATTTGGAAAATCCTATGAGTTTGTTGCCAGTGTTATTGCCCTACAACTTATTTGATGTATCTTACGACACTGTTATTATTTTTCGGGTTTCTTTTGTTGTTACGGACCTATTCTTTTGCTTCTTTTTTGATATTATTGTCTCTTCTGTTGAGCCAAGGGTCTCCCAAAAACAGTCTCTCTACCCTTCCGGGGTAGGGGTCAGGTCTGCGTACACTCTACCCTCCCCAGACCCCACTAGTGGTATTTTACTGGTTGTGTTGTGTGTGTGTGCACTATGAGTTTGTTGCCTTTCTGCCTTCACAAGGTACAGGTAATATCTGCGTACACACTATCCTACCCGAACTCCATTTGTGGGATTACACTGGGTATGTTTTCGTTGTTGTTGCGATGAGTTTGTTATTGATATATGCTTTTGTTAGTGACCTCATATTTTATTATTTGTCATTCCTTTAAGTGACTTTTCATGTTTGGATGTCATCTCACTTGCCGTTTGAGACTCTGAAATAGTAAAATTCCCAGTTTTTGTATTATTTTAAAAGTTATATGTTCCTTCTGCTCTTGGATATTGAATGTTTCAAATTCTTCATTCTTTATCTTTGATGTATCTCAAGTCCTATAAAAATACCTAACTTAGGTAACCTAAGGCAGCTCCCTGTACTCTTTATATCCTTTTAGAAAAAGAAAAGGTAAATTTTTTAAAAATTTTCTTACACGTTGTTCGGTTTTAGATAAGTAGTTTTTTTTTTTGGTTTCCCACATGGTTAAGGGAGGAGCAAAAAAAAATTGTTTGACTCCCTAAATGGTAATAGGTTCATTTTTTTGGAAGAGAGGAAACATAATATCAAAAATCAAAAGGAAAATAGGTATGCGTCTGCCGGAGTCGAACCCGAGTCTATTGCTTGGAAGGCAATTATCCTAACCGTTGGACTACAAACGCTTTGTATAATAGTAAATAGTTTTAGATATAATCGTATATGTCATGTGGACCATATTTTAAGCAACATGATGCTAGGAAACAGTGTTATGAGGTAAGAGCACCCAATGAACGGAAGCGGACCAAGGATTCAGTGATCGCGGGAGCACCATGACATTCAATATAAATTTATCATTGTTCATAGATATTGATACGGGGGGCTAAGCTAATATTTGACTATTTTTTGAAGACATTTGCATGTATATATGATTTTTTTACGGTAGTTACCAGGTGCCGGTGACCTCTCTTGTTAAGGTGTGCGTCCGCCTCTGAATTTTTTACGCCTCTCATTGTAATGATGTGAAAGAAAACAAATACAAATTCCTTTCTCAAAAGATAAAACAAACACAAATATCCTTGCAGACATAGGCGGACCTATGTGTAACTTTGAGGTTCACCGGACCTCGTAAATTTCGGTAGAAATATTATATATTTTTATGTATATACCTTAAAAATAATTAATTTAAATCAGTTAGGGGGTGAGCAGAATATTGGTGCCCTATTACGTTAAAATCTTGGGCCCGCCTTTGCCTGCAGAGACAGATCACGACCATCTTTGTTACCGTGTGAAACTTGAAAACAAAGTGATTAACAAGCATAAGTCGGTGGGGAGATCTTAATTCAAAACAAAAAGAGGAATTTTAAGTCCTGAGCAAGGCCCTTCCTCCCCTCCCAAAAAGGAATTTTGTCTTTATTTTTGCATAAAACAAGAAAGAAAAAAACACAAAAACTATTACAGCTGCCAGGGTTCGAACCTTGATTCTTTCAAATAAAGAAGGAATTAACCAGTGTTACAGCAGATCACGTTGTTACACAATTTCAACTTTATTTATAATGTGGTATGCTATTAGGTTAATCTATCACTTAAGTACTGAAAATTTTCAGTTTAGCTGAAGCCTTAAGTACTACTCCCTCCGTTTCAAATTAGATAAGGTACTTTCGTTTTTAGTATGTTCCAAAATAAATGACACATTACTAAATTTGAAAATAATTCAACGTTAAACTCTGCATTTTATCTTAATGAGAAGCTTTTTATAACCATATACAATTGACATGGCCCCACAAAACTTTTATCCCTTAAGCTTTTAACACCACAAGTTTCAAAAGTTCTTTTTCTTAAATTCCGTGCCGAGTCAAACTATCTTACAATACTTTTTTGTCGTATGTTACAGCATTTTGATATAGTAAATGTGCCCGTTTTTGTATGATCTTCTATTGTAGAATTCAAGTACTTACTCCGATCCACAATAAGTGATCAATTTGTTTTGGGCACATTCATTAAAAAAATACTAAATTCTAGACGAAAATAGTTAGTGTGACTAAACTACCCCTTCATTAAATGGTGCACCATAGTTATAGTAGTACTTCTCTTCTCAAATGTGAGGAGTAAATGACTTTTTAGGCATACGTACATAAGGGTAATTTTGGAAAAACAAATTATTTTTTTCTTGATTATATAAATGAATATTTATTTTGGACCAAAATAAAAAAGTAATTTGGTCACTTATCGTGGACTTTACTTTGATTTATTAGAAGAGCCACTCCTATTAAACAAGGTGGCCTTAGTTTATGACAAATCAATTAGAACACCACTTATACACGTGTATGAATAAAAAACTAAAATAAAACAAAATAAGAATTAGAGAGGGAAAAAAACAAGGGAAACTTACATAAATGTCCCAAATAAATCTCAACTTACCAACCTCTAGCCATTAGTCATAGACTTACCAAAACTAGCCAACAAAAATTGAAAAACCAAATAATAGGGTTCTTTCTCTCAAAGAATCACATGCAAAAATCACCTTTCATATTTTTAAGCGTGATTAGCAACATTAGATACAAGACGGAAACGAAATTTCATGGACGGGGTAGCAAATAAGGTGATGAAATACAAAAATCTATACAATATTTCAAAAATATAAACAAAAAAAGAACTTTTTCAATGGGTATAGTTGAAATTCATTGAAAATATATAGATAAGTCAATATACAAAATTTGAGGAAGATTGGAGGTGATTTGGACTGGTTTTGTATCAAAATTCGTAATTAAATAGAGTTCAAAAAAGTCTTCTGCGACACATGTATCAACCATGTATCACGCATGTATCACACACATAGGTATACATGGATATACATGTGATACACAATTGATACAAATATGATACATATGTGATACACAAATGATACACAATGTGATACACATATCATTTTTTTTCATGTTCAGCTTTTACTTCGAATTTTCAATTCAAACCACCTCAAAACTTCACCAAATCATCCCAAACTAAGCTTCAAGCTCCTTAAGTTGTGTCCAATCTATTATAATAACACTCACTCAAAACAAAGCAAAAATTTGATATATTTTTTTGCTGCAAATAGCTAATTGGCTAATTTGGCTAATATTAGTAATATTTTATCAATTGGCCAATTTTTGTAATGAGTTACTTATAAATGGACATAGCTGGTAATTTCCCAAAAAACAACCCTTCATTTTGGTCAGACCTCCTTTATGCTGCTTCTTTTTGTCAATTTAGAATTTGTAGGATTTTTTTAACAGTAAGCGCGACCTGCTTTAAATTTTTCTCTTTTCCTTTTAATCTCCACATTCGAATCAACAATTTAATCAGAATAAAATTTCGAACCCATCTCTTATGGAAGAAGAAAGATATTGAAAGGCTAAATACATAGATAACCCTTCAAACACGATATGAAATTTCATTAGATACTCTAATCAACAAATAACCATTCGAAAATTTCAACTTGTCATAGATGTGTCTCGTGAATACAAGAGTCAACCGAACGAAAAGCGTGTAATATGAAAGCTAGTGACGTGGTAATGAAAAATGATACATGCATCATTAGGAGAAAAAAAAAATACCTTGGTATAAAAAAACAAAACAGTAATGCGTCTGCTGTGAGTCGAAACACCTCTAATCAATAAATAACGATTCTAAAACTTCAACTTGTCAAAGATGTGTCTCGTGAATACAAGAGTCAACAAAATGAAAATCGTGTAATATGAAAGCGGGTGGCGTTGTAATGAAAAAATGATACATGCATCATTAGAAAAAGAAAAAAGAAAAAAGGATACCTTGGCATTTACAAAAACAAAAGAGCAATGCGTCTGCCGGAGTCGAACCCGGGTCTATTGCTTGAAAGGAAATTATCCTAACCGTTGGACTACAAACACCTTGTTGTATACTGTTCATAGACTTATATATATATATATATATATATATTGCATGTAATCGGATATGTCATATATGCCATGTAATTTTATTTATTTATTTTTGACAGGCAAGGTTTACTCTAGCGATAGAATATTTCTACAGCCAATTGACAAGTTGAAGGTTCGAATCACATGAAGAGTAAGTAAGACACTATCGATTTTCTTAAGTAGAGCAATGACTGAAAAATAAAAAAAAATAAAAATCTGTAGCCAATAAGTTGAAGGTTAGAGTCACGTGAAGATTCTCACTCTTTTTTTCAGAAAAGAACAAAACAATCTTATAAATTGATGTCGACCTCGTTCAAAATGGATTTAATTTACTCCCACATCGCATTATTCCAATGTATATACTCTTCTTATTCATACAAAATTCCCTCTATTGTTATTTGTTCATATATTGCCAGAAAAGAACCAAAATCTGAAAAGCTTCTCTTAGAGGTATCAAATGTAGCCAAGATCCTCAATTCTATTTTGCTCGATGGACGATTCTTCCAACAAATTTTTAACATTTTGTGTGTAAAAAGACAAAACAGCATTTCGGCAATAAGCATTGTGCCTCTAATACCAACAATACTATGTTCGCGGCGGAGCTAGAGTATTAGATACAGGTTTGAACGAACTTAGTAGATTTTACTTGAACTTTGTATTTGTATTAAAAAATTTATTAAATATATATAAATATTTTATTGCGAACCCAATAATTAAGACGAGCTATCAATTCAAGTATAGAACCCATAAACTTTAAATCTTGACTTCGCTTCTGCCCGAGCCCGAGGTTGCGCCCATTCCACGCGAGGTCCTCGTTCCGGAATTAGAGCAACCTCTCCTTCCTGTTTCAGTTCGCTAAGTTTGAAAAGTCCAAAGAGCGCAGACTAGCCACGGAGCTTGGATACGGTTGATCTAACTTAGAACTATCAGAAATATTATAACTTTTTGCATGTGTATGTGTCATCCTAATATTTTACTTAAACAAATGTCTCGAGTTTGAGTTTGGAGAATCTTTTTGTTGGAAATGTTTTACCCTCCTTAATGAGCATTATGGCGTAAATTAGATTAGTAGGGTTAGTGAACTTCGAAAACTATATGCTTAAAGAATAAAAGTACTAGAAATCTTGCATCGTTTCTTCTACCATAATTCCAACAAAAATAAAGAATAGGGTAACAAGTTTCAATGTGTTTAAAAGTGTAATATAAAATTTGGAAATAGAACTTGATCATAGTTCTTGAATTATTTCTCATATATTACCAAAAAATAATGATCGGAAACAGCCTCTCAATTTCTCCGGAGTAGGGGTAAGGTCTGCGTACACACTACCCTCCCCAGATCCCACCTGTGAGATTTTACTGGGTTGTTGTTGTATATTACCAAAAAATAATGTTAGCAAATATCAAAAATATATACATAATATAATACCTATTTAGAAAAGTAAGCACTAGTTTTTGTAATACAAGAAAAAAAGTACATAATTTTTTAAACCAAAGCTTAGTGGTCCAGCTATTTAGTAAATCTCACTAGAAATTAAATTCTGATTTAGACTAAAAGACAAAAGAACAATGATCATGGCATAAGACAACAATCCATATGGGAATCTTGAGTAACATGGAGCTCTCCAAGAGCATTTTCTTATAAAAGATTAAGCATTCTGAAATTAAATATTAAAAGAGTTTAAGTAATATATATTGTCGATGTAAAAGATTTTTACGCTATTCAGTCACCTAAAAGATAACGGTGGGTAATTGTCCAAAAAAGTTGAGATCACAAACCTGGAAAACAAAGCAGGTTACATGCCGTCAGTATAAACGACAACGACTACGCCTCAGTCCCAAACAAGTTGGGGTCGACTATGCTTTAGTCCCAAACAAGTTGGGATCGACTATGCCTTAATTCCAAACAAGTTGGAGACGGGTATATGAATCCTCACTGACCGTGTTACTAAGTTAAACCGAATATTAAAAAGCATGGAAGAAATGACAAAGTTGTAACCACCTTTGTGTTTTTTAAAAAGTCTCATAAATAGTCTTTTTTTCATTGTAATTGTCAAGTTATAGAAACTTTGCAGCCCACCTATTCTAAACTATACTTAATTAAATTCTTAATAACTAAGACATATTTGTTAGTTCATTGTTATAAATTATCTCCATAACATTTCTTTAGGCAAAGACTCTCATTTCCTACATCTTCTGTAGTTTGTAAAACAGAATATGTGTCCAACAATACTTCCTTATTCAGCCAACTCTTGCCTTAGAGCAAGAAATAGAAGATTTTCATCTCAGAAATGCAGAGGAAAATTATATATAACAGCTGAAGTTCTTACAGTTGCACCTAAGAAGAATGGACAAAGTAAAATCCATGAATTATCAGTACAAGGAATTGCTTACACTCATCAACGCGTTCGCGAAGTTGTGCGGAGGCAAACACATGTTACGAATGATTGTTATAGAAAGCCAAGTTTTGATCCTATGTTTCTTGATGAAGCTTATGAATTATGCAGGAAAATTTGTGCAGAATATGCTAAAACATTCTACTTAGGTTCATTTCTTGATCCCTTCTTTTCAAGATTGACATAGTGATAAATAGTATAGTATCAAGTTATATGTGATAGATATCTCTTTCTTGTACAATCTATGGCTTCAAATTTTGCTATAATTGCTAATGTGCTATTAAGTTTCACTTTTCAAAGTTTTCATTTTGATGGTTATATGACTAATGTCTTATTACCTTGTCGATGTTATTGTTTGTTTATTGCTCCCTTTTCTGTTCTTGAGTCGAGGGTCTACCGGAAACAGCCTCTCTACCTTCATAAGGTAGGGGTAAGGTCTGCGTACGCACCACCCTCCCTAGACCCCACTTGTGGGATTTTACTAGGTTTTGTTGTTGTTGTATATGACTAATGTTCAATTTGATCATGTTGCAGGAACTAAACTGATGACTCCAGAGAGACAAAAAGCAATATGGGCTATCTATGGTAAGCTATAGTGATAAAATGATCTCAACTTTTAAGCAAATTACTAGGCCTTAATATTTAAGGTCTAAATTAACAATATCCAATATTGGACATGACCCGGGATAGGAAGGTGTGGAGGTCGAGAATCAAGGTAGACGGCTAGTAGGTAGTCGAGAGTATTAGTGTTAGTCTTGTATCCTATTATTGTTAGGTTAGTATTACCTGTTGTTCTTTTCGTTTCGATTTCTTACTATCTTGTTGTTGTTACTGCTTGGTGCTATTGTTTTTTTTTTCTTGTCTTTCGCGCGCCGAGTGTCTATCGGAAACAGCCTCTCTAACGGTGGGGGTAAGGTATGCGTACACACTACCCTCCCCAGTATTACCCGGGGTTTGTTGTTGTTGTTGTTGTATTTGATCTGTATGTTGAAAGTTGAACTTAAAATTGTTTTTGTTTTTTTTTCAAGTATGGTGCAGGAGAACAGATGAACTTGTCGATGGACCTAATGCCGATTACATGAACAACACTGTTCTTGATAGATGGGAAGAAAGATTAGAAGACATTTTCAACTGCAGACCTTATGATATTCTTGATTCTGCTTTAACTGATACCATTTCCAACTTCCCTTTAGACATCAAGGTACAAAAAAATTTCAATATCTCCTTCATTCTTGTTAAAAGAACTAATCTTTTTAGTATTATTGATACAAATTTTCGCGTTTATGATATGTAGCCATTCAAGGACATGATAGAGGGAATGAGAATGGATACGAGGAAAAGCCGATATGCAAATTTCCAGGAGCTGTACATGTACTGCTACTGTGTGGCTGGAACAGTTGGACTAATGAGTGTCCCAATAATGGGAATTGCACCAGAAACTCCAGTTTCAGCTCAAACTGTATATAATTCAGCACTTCATTTAGGCATAGGGAATCAACTAACTAACATTCTTAGAGATGTTGGAGAAGAGTAAGTTCACATTTAGGCTAATTCTTGGTAGTGTAAATCCAACTTGCCATTTTAGATTATCTAACCATTTTTGCTACTGATCTGTTTTAGTGCATTGAGAGGAAGAGTTTATCTGCCACAAGATGAACTAGCACAGTATGGATTATGTGACGAAGACGTGTTCTCAAGGAAAGTCACTGATCAATGGAGGGAATTCATGAAGGAGCAGATCAGAAGGGCAAGATTCTACTTCAACCTGGCTGAGGAGGGTGCTTCTCATCTTAACAAAGCTAGCCGTTGGCCGGTAAGATCACTTCATAAAAACTTCCATATCAATTCAATTAAAGATAGGCAAAGGCTAATCAAGATTCATGTACACATGAAAAGCCACATATAGACAGTTGTGAAAATAAAAGAAAGAGTTAATTACAATTTTCATCCTTGAGTGTGTGCGAGTGTGTTTGCGATAAAAATCTCCCACCAGCACTGGTACCAAGTAACTATGGTCTCTGCCCGACAACGCTTAGTTAGATGGGAAGAAATCACCTAATGCCTTTTGTCACTGCTAGGATTTGAACTCTGATTTCTCATAATTTTCACCCACTTCATTGACCGTTGGACCACGTTCTTGGTTGCAGTTGTGTTTTTTTATTCAAAGATCATTCCATATACTCTTATACTATGGACATAACCTTCCTACACTTTTTGAACTAAAGTGAAATGGTCAAAATGTTGCATCCATACCAACGCTAGATATGATTCAGGCACTCAAAATTAGTGTTCATACCACTTTTGCTTCACAGGCACCATTACTATGGCCAAATTATCTTCAATGAAAAGTTAAACTTATTTTATTCAATTCAAACGTTCATGGAAGTTATTACTTAAGTGTTTGGTCCCAAACGGGAAAGACAAGGATATTCCATTTGTTACGTTGTTCAGGTCGATTAGAAGGTATCGAAATAGCTAGAACTGAATGCAAAACGTATATGCATAGGTGATGGTGTTCATCTAATCCGCTATATAATATAGTTAGTGGTCGAAAAGATCCTATCTTCATGCCCCTCTTGTTCTCATGACATGAGAAGACAACAACCATGCAAAGCCTAATTTAACGCGAGGATAGTGTGTACCTAAACCTAAAAAAACAACACTTATAATGTCCTGTTTTTACTATGTCTTGATCAGTTTGTTATATGTTTTCTTGGGTGCAGGTTTGGTCATCCTTAATTTTGTACAGGAAAATTTTGGATGCAATAGAAGAAAATGATTTTGATAACTTAACAAAGAGAGCTTATGTTGGGAGGGCCAAAAAGTTAGTAACTTTACCTGTTTCATATGCTAGAGCTTTATCTGTGCCCAGTTTGGCCATTCAATAGACAAAATACAGAAAGTTGTAAGGTGTAAAGAGAATTATTGTATTGTATTAAAAATTCCAATATTGTCTTGAATTTAGAAGGAAATGACATTCTCTGCTTGAACAATTCCAAAATTGTCTTGAATTCTATGGTAAAAATCAAGTTATAGACACATGCAAACAAAAGAGTCTTTTATTTATTATGTTGTAGAAGATATCAAGCCGAGGGTCTACCGGAAACATCCTCTCTGCCATCTTAAAGGTACGGGTAAGGACTGTGTACACTCTATCCTCCCAAAGAGAGGCGGATCCAGGATTTTAGGTTTATGGGTTCCTACAAAAAATTTGAGTTGATACAATACTAACTGAATGAACGGACTGGGTTCCAAGCTAAATATTCTTATACATTTAATGAATTTTTCGATACAAAGATGGGTTGTAGACAAAAGCTACTGGGTTCACGGGAACCCCTAGCTATTGAACAGAATCCGCCCCTGCTCCCTAGACTCCACTTGTGGAACTACACTGGGTATGTTATTGTTATTGTTTTAGAAGATATTAGGCAAGATTCACATAGATAAAACATGTGGACTTCAAAACATACCATCTACAGGTAGACTTTCCCTCACAATGTATGTCCATGCCAAACTATTTACCAGACGTTAGGTCATATAAGATAGATTAAACTCGACAATCTTAAATTCAACTCTTAGTCGCAACTACTATCAACCAATCACTAGCTTTTGTTAGAATAATCGCAACTACTATCAGCCAATCACTAGCTTTTGTTAGAATAATATCGTAAAGTCAAAGAGAAAGAAGAACATCATGGAAAATTATTTTCTTCTGGTAGCCTTTAAGTGATACGGGAGAATCACTCTTGCATTTTCTCTTTTTTCTTTTTTTTTAATGTATCTTGTGTAGTCACTACCTGTCGCCTCTGCCGACGATCTTTCAGAAATAACATCTCTATCTTTCCGGGATAAGAGTAAGGATGTGTATATCCCACCCTCCCCAGACCCCACTTATGAAAATACTCTGAGTTTATTGTTGCTCTTGTTGTTATGTACCAATTAAGCAATTCTTTCCATCCCGATAATTGAATCATTTACGACTTAATAGTTCAAAAAAATAAAAAATAAAAAAATTTAAATAGAGTGCAAACTAAGCAAGGTGAAAGAAAATAAATTACTCAAGCACCCATTATAAGGTAGAAATAATATCTTGCCTCTACAGAGCTCAGACCGAGAGATATCGTCTTTCTACAGAGGTGACAAAAATATCGACGAAGGAAATGATGGTCCTTTCTACTAGTAACCAAAAAAATATGTAAGGAAAAGAAAAACGGTTGAACATTGTTTGTTGGAAATGATACATGCAGTAGTGACTCCGTTATCGGTTTAACTGTCTCTTCACTGCATTTCCATGAGGTCTCAGGAGAACTCTGAGAGGAAGAACACGTCACCTGCCCGATTTACATGCTTCATGCAATCGCAGTATCGTGATACTATAGCAGTAACAACTATAGAACTCATAGGAAGCTCACAGCATATAAACCAGTTAGCAAGAACTGCTGAAATAAAATCACCATGTTTATGCAGCTTGATCATAAGAAGTAATCTGGCGTTCTTCGGGTTACATCTGGTTCCCCTCTCCTAGGAGCTGGTTCAAACTGCAAAATGAAAAATGTAAACAACAAGAATAGTAATCCCTTTGTTCTAATTTATATGACAATCTTTCCTTTTTAGTCTGTTCCAAAAGAATAACCTCTATATTTGCACACTCTCTTAACTTTAATCTTACTATTTACACTTAATGACATGCTCTTCATAGCCATAGAAATGTCATAGCAATGTTTAAGATAACAAGTTCTAAGGATACTTTTGGTACGTTTCAAAGAAATTTCTTAAACTCCATGTCTAGTCAAGCACTTCCATATAAAATGAAACGGAGGGTGTAACAGTTATCAAGCTAGAGCACATAATTTGCACAACTAATTGTCTGCCGGTTCATGAGAGAGAGAAACCTGAATGAATGTATGGCCATTGCAGTCGTCAACTTCCAAGATGGATGCCATATTCCCACAGCGGTAGCAATAATTAGGGGCACTAAATATGGTAACCACTTTTTGATCCTGCAACAAGAAATTGGTTAAATCAGTCTCTCTTGGATCAAATTTGTACATAAAGTATATATAAGGTATATAGGATTAATTACATGTGCCCAATTGAATCCCTCCATAACCAGTTGGTGTGCTCTCGCAATTAATTTCAAGTTGTTGGTGTGGTTAAACTGCTCAGATATATCCTGTTAGAACACAAAAACACGATATCCCACAGCTTCATTAGCTCATACAAACAAATAAGAACCACTAGATACGTCAGAAAAAATTGAAGTGATGCGGAGTAGGTAAGTTACTTGGCCAAATGTATATCCAGCACCCCTGGGTGAAATACCCCAGCCGCATCGATCATCAGGATCAGACCACAAAAGATCACACATGGCCCCCTCATGTGGAACTTCTTGGACTCGGTCAAAATTACGAATATTATCAAGAGTTTCAATAGATGGAGACAAACCACCATGGAGGCAAAAAATTTCGGATTCAACCTATAAAGATTGCAGAAAACCTGTCATTACAATTTCAAGACCACACGAACTTCGGAAAACATCAAGTTTAAGGGAAAAACATGAAATTGCACAAGAAGCATATCTTTCCTCCTGAAATTATACAGAGAGAAAACCTACATCCAATAAACAAGCAAATATTTGGCATGTCGGTGGAGTGCTAGTTAGTTCAACTTAAGCCAAAACATGGCCAAAAATAAATTAGTAAGCTTTGTTCCTCACATGACCTCTCCACCAGATGGGGAGAGAGGGGGGGGGGGGGGGGAGGACAGAAAAGAGCTCTATGAATAGTTAATTACATGCCAATTAGCAACACGTCTCCATCAAACAAGGATTGATGAATATGTCATACAAGCTTACTATTCTATTTGGCAATCAAAATGCGTACAAATTTACATTTGATAATGTTCAATTTATCTGCTATTCGCTCGGCAAAATATCTCGACATTCTCAGAGTGCTAAATGCAAAATTCACATTTGGGAAAAAGCTTCTCTGAGGTAGTTTCGCCTCGTACAAGCAAAACCATGCTGAAATGCATAAAATGTAAGTAATTTAGATCGCAAAGCACTTTAAAAATCAGAATGAGCTCCAAATGTTATTTTGAACCTTGCAAATGTGCTCCCAAATAAGGCCTACATACAATCTACAATTAATGTACAAAACCAGCTCACTCAGCTGCCCAACATATTGCCAAAGCACTAAGAGCTTTCAAAAAGAACATTAATGCCTTGAGAAAATGTAATATCACTTGAACAACAACAACAACAACATACCCAGTATATTCTCACATGTGGGGTCTGGGGAGGGTAGTGTGTACGCAGGCCTTATCCCTACCTAGTGAAGGTAGAGAGGCTGTTTCAAATAGACCCTCGGCTCAAAAAGGTAGGGAGGAGGAGAAGAAGAAGGAAAATGTAATATCACTTCATTCCACAAAATTCAGGAATAGTCAACAACCTAGCATATTTGGCAAAGCTAGTTTTTCTTCATCAGAAACATGTGCCCCTCCTTGACAAAGAAATACATAAAAGCAAGGTATGGGATGCTTAATGCAATTTAGAACACAACGAATTGGCGTTCAATTTCAAGGCCATCCCAACATAATTCCATAACAATATTAGCCCATCCCAACATAATTCCATAACAATATTAAGTCTTTGAATTTCCATAGCCCAAGATTTAAGCAGCAGCAGCAGCTAAATACATATTAAAGAGAGAAAGAAACACGAAGAGACATAAAAGTAAAGTAATAGATAATAATCGTCTATGAAATCAACAACATAACTAAATTGAGGAAATCATACTAACCAACGCTGTGAGCGGGAAATAGTCAAATAGATCTGTGAAAGTCTTCCACACATTGGCATTACCATATCTGTAAAGGGCAAATGCAGTCTATCAGTTACACCACTCCACCCGCGAAACAATAAAGTTATGAGACAATGCAACCAAGAAAATGTATAAAATAGGAGGACTCACTTTCGTAAACATTCATCATAAAACCCATAAACCTGAGTAATCTGCAAGAAGAAAACAAACAATCAGATCTCAAAATCTAAACCTGAAGCAAGCCTCAATCCATAACAGAAACAGAATGAACAACTATTTTTAATGCAACTCACTGAGAAAAGGGATCCATTCGACGCAAAATGTAAAGGAAGAAATCCTAACATAATTGTATATACCTGACGGCTCTCATGATTTCCCCTCAAAATTGTAATCCGCTGAGGATACCGAACTTTGAGAGCCACCAAAAGCTGCAAAAACAAACAAGTTAACATTCAAAATGACACCATCACTAGCAACTAAGTAAGCACGACACTGCTTTGCCCTAAAAATTGAGATATTGGCGCACAACAAAATCCTCCTACTTCTATCCATGAAGAAGTAATAAAATCCCTCTAACTGCATTTGGAGGTGCAAGAGCTAAAAAATCTCACCGTTACTGTTTCAACAGAATAGTATCCACGATCTACATAATCTCCCATAAATAGATAGTTAGTGTCAGGACACTGCAAATATAACAAAAAACAGGACATGTTAGGAAAACAAATTTGACTGCCGTCGCCTTCATTAAAGTATAGGCATACAAATTTACCTAAAAGAAAAAGAAGCTAAAACTTATCAAGAAAATCACTAGAATAATTTTATAGCCTAGCATTTTATAGCTCATTAGCCATAAAAAATCAACAACCCCTAAGAGCTTGTTAATCAACTGACCAGCCATCTCATATGATTTCTAAGGATATTACGTCCTTGATCCTTCCCTTGTATATGGTTTTGTTTAGGCCTCGGCTTATGTGAAGGAGCTAAATTACAGGCCCATCCTCAAGAGAGAGAAATTGATTACAGTAACAAATATATACTTCAATAGTTAGATAACAGTATATGCACCCTTGTGTATCTCTAGAAACCTTATTGATAACAATTTCCCCTTCCTCCTTCAGCGCACGCGCACACACACACACACAGAGAGTGAGAGGGAGAGAGAGAGAGAGAGAGAGAGCACATCTTTTCCAACCAAATAACCAACATGTTTTCAAATGTTCATCGGCCATCGCCACCAAAAGAGGAAGTGAAAATTAAAAGACAGTTGTTCTTGGCAAAGCATAAACCTAGTGGCTAGTCCCATTGAACAAAATCCAGAAAGAACAAAAAGCGCAGGTACCTTCCCACCAATACGGAAAAGCTCAGCAAGATCATGGAATTGCCCGTGAATATCACCACATATAGTCACAGGGCTTTTCACTGGCTGCAACAGGGAAAGTTAAAACCATTCAATATTACAATAAAATAATCATGCACTTTCTAAATCTTTCTAATAAGACACAAATGGTAAACCTGAAAGCCTGAGAGTTCTCAACTTGATAAGAGAATAATTTGTTTTTAAGTTCAGTCTCGCATACAATGAATCAGTATGATCTTGTGTCAGATATATAAATCAGATTTTTTTACTGTGTTATGCATATTGGGCTAAGCTGAAGCCTCAGTTACATGCTTGTGGACCCAAAGCTTCAACAATCTAGAGAAAATAACAAAATTTTATTAGAATACACCTCTCTTTGCACCTATCATACACCTATATTTATAAAGTTTTACACCTCTCATTGCAATGATGTGAGAGAAAATAAACAGAATTTTGGTACAGAAAGAAAACAAACCCAAATTCCTTCTCAAAAGATAAAACAAACACAAATATCCCTGCATAGACAGATCACGACCATCTTTGTTACCGTCTGAAACTTGAAAACAAAGTGATTAACAAGCATAATTCGGTGGGGACGTCTTAATTCAAAACAAAAAGAGGAATTTTAAGTCCTGAGCAAGTCCCTTCCCCCCTCCCAAAAAGGAAAACAAACAGTCCCAAAGAAAAAGAGAAAAGGCAATCATATAAGTACAGTACCTGCACGTTGCTTTCATTCATTAAGATCTCCTTTGCTTTCCCGCATAATCCTCTTACCTAGTGACATTAAAATAAAATAAAAGTAAAACCCGGCAGGTTAATAAATGTAACACCTTTTTTTTTACATAGCGAGAAGCCTTATAAGAAAGGCAAATTAAGAAAAGACTACATGCAACAAGCCTGGTCCAATTCCACGAGATACCGCATTATCTGCATCACCATGACAAGAGCAGCCATAGACATATGCTCGAATGTTGTAAGTTCAAAAGCGTAACAAGTTCGATTTTGAAGAATGTTCATCGGGCTATCCCGAATATAAGTTTTACAATCAAGTTTAGCAGAAGAGCCAAAGTGATGCTACAAACTTCTATTTAGACAACTTTCTTTTGGCACGATTAACCACTGGGCACGCCAATTTATCAGCTCACAGGAATAGAGAAATGTAAAGATGGGAACCCTCCTTTTTGTTGTTGTTAGGGGGTATATAATGCCAGGCACCATCTTTCTACTTGAAAAACAATTACTAGGGCAAGATTACAAGTTCTTGAAGAAAAAACATGAATCACTTGCTGATTAAGAAACACATTCAAGTATTTAAGCTTAAACACAGTTAGACTTCGGCAAGTTATCATTAGGATCTTGGATTGCCTGAAGAAAGGAGAATCAAGACAAATATGTAGAAAAAGTAACCTGACGAAATGAACCATTTGTTTGTCGAAAATAAATTGTAGCTTTAAGGGAAAATAACAAGAAGACCTAACCAAGTTTTCCACTTCAATTTGTGGAAAAAAAGAAAAACACATTGAAGCTCTAGTAACAAAAATATATTGTCTTGGAATATTTCACTGCTTTACAGCTATAGTTTGTATGGAAAACCATTACACAACTGAAATTAATCAATCATAAAAAAAGGTTCAATTTTTAAAGCTAAATTACAAACTTCACCAAGCATTTTCTTTTATAAAACTATACTCAGTATGGAAATTAACCTACAGAAAAAAATAGGAAACTGAAATAATTTCAAATGTTGAAAAGTACCCATTTATCAATTCTGAAGGACAAAACAATCTGATTCAAATAATTTCCTCATCACCCCCAAAAGTTCCAAAGGGGGGGGGGGGGGATACCATACAGATTCTCGGATCAACAAACAAATCAGGAAATGAATAAGAAGACATACAAAAAACACAGAGAATAATCAAACCCAGATCCAAATATCTTCCAAAATTCATTAAGAAAAGCAAAACCCATTAACAAAAACAGAAAAAAAAAAGATCAAATGGGTAAAAGGTGAAATTTTTACCTCTTGTTCAGATAAGGGTTTGCACTGCATAAGCTGAGCAATTTGCTCATCAAGATTTCCTTGAGATGACACCACTGGATCTAAGCTCATTTTTTCCCTTCTGGGTTTGAATCTTTTCTTCACAACAAGCACAGAAAAACAAAAAAGATTGGAACTTTCCCACAATTCACAGCAGAAGGGGAAATGGGAGGGGGTGGTGGGTTTGATTTGGTTTTCTTGTTTCAGGTGCTATACGACATCGTTTTCTCGGCTCCACTCAAGAGAGAGAAAGAGAGAGGAGTGAGTGGTGGTGATGGAACCAAAGAAGGGAAAATTGGAAAGAGCCCTCTAGCTTTATTTTTCTTCTTTTACTTTTTCAAGTAACTATATTTTTCTCTTTTATATATTCTTTATAAATTAATTTATAATATACATATAATAGATAGATTTTATATACAATTAATGTATATATTCTTTTTATATTTGACTAGCAATTATAATTATTTTTTATCGATCCGTCAAATATGTTAAAAGTCCCTTTTTCCACTTGGTGTATATATATGATTTGGGATCTCAAACACTAAATTAATGGCAAAATGGCTTCCTGGCCACTTAAACTTGTAGGGCTTTTGAAAGTCGATACACAAACTTTTATCTTTCCCATTTAAACACTCAAACCCGTAAAACCTATAACTAATAAACACCTTTGACCATTGACTATGCTTATGTTGCGGTAACTTATCTTACGTGGACATAGTGCGTACAAGTCACATTCAAATGGCGCGTGTATCTGTTAGTATTCATTAAAAAGATTGTAAAATCAAAAAAATAAACAGAAACTATAATAGAAACACCCCCTTCCCCCGGATCTCGTCTTCTACACACCACCCATGTATCTTCGCACCATCCCCACGACCGGAAACAAGGCTTCACCCATAACCCACAACAACGACCAAACGAACCCAACCAGTCCCTCCTCCCCATCTACGCCTAACA